GGTGGGTGGCAAAGATTGCGAAGATTTACTTGAGAAGAGTGCTAGCGATGTAATAAGAAAATATTTCTACAGCGCCATTTGTAAAATGCGATAATGGCAATTATTAATTAATCGAATAAGAAAAAAAAAAGGGGTTGCATGTACACTACTATATATATATATATATATATATATATATATATATATGTAGATTCAATTGAAATAATTGAATTTTATATGGAAGTAAAATAGATCATCATCATATCCTATCATTTCTTTTTATCTTTTGCCCAACCGAGTCATATAGACGATATCCGGGCGTGTGTTGTTTGAAGCGTGTTAGTATATTGTTTATATGTGTGTGATGGATAAAAAAAAATTAGAAAAAGAGATCGGTCATGGTGGATGATGACTCCGATCGATCTCAAATCGAGTTTCAGTGAAACCGTGAAAAATGTTTGTAAGATATTAGTATCGTGTTGTCACCTGTGATGGCGATCTTGCAGGACCACTTGCTGGTACCCTCAAGGACGATCTGTTCGGCCTGTTCGAGACTGTCTATGTGGGTATCCGGGTCGACTGAAAACGTCGTGCTGAAAGAAGACAATGTCCTCGTAAACTCTTCGTCCTTCGACAACCTCTCGTCGTACCACTTTCGTGTAACTTTATTTTTCTTGTGTTGTATGTTCATTTAAACGTTAATCCCTTTTTTCCCCTAGATCTAGAGAATAAAGTAAAAATGAAAGAAAATAAAGAAAGTAAGGAAAGAAATAAAAAGATCAATATTTTGAGAAAGAGAGAGGTTAGCGAAGGACGATGGAAGACATGTCGGGCCGTTGTTATTGGCCCAGAGACTCCTCGATAATCATCCCAAAGTCCTCCAGCAGCGGCGACGATTCGTTCGAACGTATACCATTGTAAATGACGTATCGAAGTTTTCGTTAGGAGCAGCATCGTTTAAGCGAAAGCAGCAGCGTCAACATCAGCAACGAACAGCAACGACAGCAGCAGCAGTTTAACAGCATTTCGTAGCGCACATTTGAATCGGCTTGTAATATTTCTTTTTCTGCCAGGTCCCATTGCAATCCTTTCTATGTATATATATATAACTCTAGCCGAAGTACTTCTATATATATATATATTTATACGTGTGCATGTAAAAGTATACGTGACGCTTATATATCCCTTTGAACAGCCAGCGTTACGGAGATGTTCACTTTCTCGAGAAAGGAAACTAGGATGAAATTAATGGAGGAAGAATATGCTGGATAAAGGAAATTGGAATCGGAAAATCCAATTGTTCTTTAGACAGTAACGAATTGGCTAAGAATGAAGTAGTGCACTTAGCGGAAACGATCGTATTTTTGAAGGGGAGCGGTGGCTTACGCGAGTCAAGAAAAATCGATGGATCGCGTGCAAAACGAGTAGGAGGAGGAGGAATCTCTTAAGCTAGAACCGAGAGCGTGCCACCTGTTAGTTGGGTGGGGGAGGGAGGAATCGTTGAATTTACATCCGCCTTTGAGTTTGACCGAGACTCCTTGAAATAAGAAAACTTGTTGCGTCGTATCGGCGGGCGCATCGCCAACTTGAAACTTTAACAAACGTTTCTTATTCAATTAAATAATATGATTCTTACATTGCGTTTATATTAAATATTAACTTGACAAAATTTACATGTTAACTAATTGCGATCGTTTCATTTCGTTTGATGAGAATATTTTCTTATGACAATGGCAACACTGGGATACATGGCTAACTATAGTATGTACTATACAACTGGTATATATTTACACGGATAACAACAAGTTGCCGCTCTCTAGGTTAATAGATTTTCGATTAGATTGCCAGGTCGTTGGCCGTGCAATGACCCCCAACAGCAACAACTTCTTCTTGGTGTGACGATTTTCCAAACCTTAATGTACAGCCTCGTTACACTAATTTCCTAATGATATTTCGATAGTAGCTAAAATGCTATCTAACTACGGATATAACGTTTACAATCCCTTAAAGAAAACAATTTCAAATTTGAATCACGTTTGGGTAGCATCTGTTCGTTAACGAAACGTCTTCCTTTAGCCCCCATAGTAATAGTTCAAGAACGTTATCAAAGTGGTTAGTTTGACACGAATGATTACGAGGTTTCCGTGTGACTTTGAATTATATCAGACATTTGTAAGAAGTGCTGCTGCTTAGAATATTAAATTTAGTTTCCTTGAACACGAAATACATAGAAGACAGCTGTAACCGGTATATTGTTTTCCCGTGACGTATAAATGAACGTGAGATTAATTTTATCATCGATGAAACAAACAGAATTTCCGTTCAATCTACGAGCCAGGAAATTACGTTTAGAAGAAAAGATCTATTCTTGGTTGATCATGGGATTGGAATTAGGAATGTCGTCGTTGGATCATTGGTAACAGGTAGATGATAGCAAAAGAGAATGGGTTCTGAGGAAACGTTCAATTAATGGTGCGTACTAATGGCCAGCGTACAAAATCGTTGCATATCCAGGCGACAAAAGGTAGGTCGTAGACGATGACACTGTAATTGCGACTGCATGCCGGAATGCACCTAGCTAGAATTACGACTACGTATAGAACTTGAGTTTAATTTCCAATATTACCAAATAAAATAAATATTTGTATTACATATTTGTTTGTTTATTTTTGGAATAAAATTTAATAATTCTATACGATATTCTAATTCTTTGCAAAATTGTTATAGGTAATACTGGTTATCAAATCTTATCTTCTATACAGTAGTATTTTTACATACTTAAGTGTATGTACGCGACAGAAATAATATGGATAACCAAGTTTACGATAGTTCCTTTTTTTTTTTCGACATATTTATAAATTTCAAAGGGAATTTATTTAAGTTTCGTGTAATGGAAAGCTTTTCATCGATAGGATGAGTTAATGGTAGAGAAGGAACAATCGTATCATGGCTGTGACACATCTATCGCTATATATAGGCATATATATATAAATATGTATATAATATTTATATATGTATATATATATATATATAAAAAATATAGGGTGTATAATATATAATATATTAAAGGCACAATTGGTACGATAGGAGCACAGCAGCAGCCGCGCGGCAGAGGTAGGTTTATCGCCAGACATCTGATGACAAAACGATAACAACGATAATAATAATAATAATAATAATAATAATAATAATAATAATAATAATAATAATAAACAATCAGATAATATAAATAATGATAGTGTGCGTGTAACAAAATTATAAGAAAAAAATAACGATATTGAAACCAATATATATATATATATATATAAATACATATATTGGTTCGAACATATAGAGAGACACATATGCATTTATATAAATATGTATACATGTATATAAATAAATATTTGTAGGCGTAGTGTGGTAGTAGGTCGAGCCGACGCGTTTTTCTCGTTTTCGCCATTTCGTCGTTTTAAATCTCACGATGAGGAGGAGGAGGTAGAGCTGGTCACAAACCTGTAATGGCGATCTTCGCCGACCATTTGCTGGTACCATCCAGAACTGATTGCTTCACAGCTGACATGTGACCCTGGTGTGCAACATCCTCGATCCCAAAGACTGACCTAAACTCCGACGAGACTCACTTTCACAACTGGGCTGTGTCAATTGACTCGGTCTCGTCTTATCTAACATTATTTCTACCTTTTTTCCTTTTTCTTTTATTTTCTTATCATTTTCACAAAATGTTTTGTTACTTCGAGAGGCGCTTTTATTAAAAAAAAAAAATAAAAAAAAATATAAGGGTACTTATGTTACCTGCATGTGCACGTTGTATGTTTGAAAGTTGATTAGTCTGACGAGTTTTCGAAAAAAAAATAAAAAATAAAAAAAGCTCACGAGTGATATGGCTTTATCAAAAACAACCTGTTTAGTGGGTTAGAATAGAATAGAAATTTTCTTATCCCGTTAAACCACCCCCACTCGTCCCCATCCCCTTTCCTTCTCACTTTATCTCCTTTGTCTGCTCGTGAAAGTGAATATTTTTTCTTCTCTTTTTATTTCGGTTTGCCATCTTAAAAAAGTTGTCGTTTTTACGGGAGTATATAAATACTATAGCTTTCTCGAAAGAAAACAAACCGCATACTTGAAGAGGAAAAGAAAAAGATAGAGGAGGTTTCCGTAAAAGCTTTCTAAGTTTATATACTTTAGCTCGTTCAGGTTTTTTCCCCATTTGCTAGTCTCAAAGAGCAAGATGGAGAATGAAACAGAAAGAAAGAAAGAAAGAAAGAAAAAAAAAAAGAGAGACTTGAATCTATATAAAACGAAACCACCTCGTTACCTTAGCATTTTTTTTAATGATTTACCGTGAAGAAAGTCGAGCATTCGCGTTTTCTTTCTTTTGTTGGTATCTCGAGTAGTAGTAGGTATTTTATAAAAAAAAAAAAAAAAAATATAATACACCTAAATAAGTGTAATGTGAATTCATAATTAGTACGAGACTTGTTTGACAATCGATAAAATCACGCGTTAACGATGATTATTTGTGATTGTGTACGATATAATTGTGACGATGAAATTTTCTTCGAATTTCAACTCAGGTTGAATGTGCGTCTCTCGAAATGCAACGTTTTAATTTAATCTATCATCTTATTCAGTTAGTTTTTATTTTTTTGGAAATTAAACTAAGAGAAGATAAGACGAGAACGGCCTCTAAAAGAAAAAAAAAAAAAGGGAAGAAAAAATTACGCGAAACGATTTATTTATTTTGACGATGATTTATCGCTGGATATCCGTTGATTGGATCACTCGATTGATTTTCCACGTCTTCGTTCGTCTTCGTGTTTTTATTTATTTTTCGTTCGTTTTTTTTTATCGAACATTCGAAGAAGAAATTTATTTATTTTGTTTTTGTTTATCATCGAATAATCGTAATATAAATTTATGGATTATTTCGAAAATTTCGCGGAAAACTTGGTCCGAATGATTTTTATCGTATATCGATTTTGGTATTATAGAATTTCCAATATTTGTTATTAATTAACGAATAGGGATTATCGTGTTATCGTATTAAATGATTAGTATGTTCTTTGTGTGTGAGATAGTTAGTTCTCACTTTATGGGACACTTTTAACGATAACGTGTGTGCGTATAATAAATTAGATATGTTGTAAACGATAAATCGATCTATGATCGTGATAATATCGATAGGCTTAATTTATAAGAGGTAAAAATGGCAAATTTTCTCGATATGTTACCAATTTAATATTGTTTCTCGATAAAGTTGTTTCGTCAATGCGTACCGATATCAACAATTCGTGAATATTGACGTAATATATTATAAAGATTTAATAATAATAATAATAATTAGGTAATTCGAGTAATTTAACAACGATGTTTTTTTCTTGTTTACGTATTTGACGTTATGAAAATTATTATAGAAATAAAGATGATCAAACTGTGTCCAATTAAAACATTTTCTATTAATTATTCAAGTAGTTCGAGTTCTTCATCGTTATAAACCAATCGATTTAATATATATATATATATATATATATATATATATATATATATATATATATATATGTATAGACGTATAATTATGTATAATATAATTTTTCTGTATTTTATATAAAAATATATATAAAATAAAAAATATNTATATATGTATAGACGTATAATTATGTATAATATAATTTTTCTGTATTTTATATAAAAATATATATAAAATAAAAAATATTATATAAAAAAAATATAATTTTTTCTTTTCAATGAAATACATTGAAACACAATTAACGTCTGTCCATCAAGTAAAAATAAATGACACCAGTAAATCTTCGAGTTATATAAAAAGTGTTCGATAGATTTGAATTGAGTTCTGTCTTTGTAAATTATTGATCGAGCTTAATGCGTAAAATGTACATGTGAATTTGAACAAAGGAGGAAGAAAAATGTACGTTCTCTCGACGCAAAGCAACGCAACGGTACTCTTTGGGAAAACACGGCTTGTTGTTTATATTCGTACAAATGATGTTTGCTGATAGAGAACTCCTTTTGACGTAACTACAACTCTATCTCTCTCTCTCACTCTACACTACAGCAATACGTCCGACGGAATACATTTTATTCGTATGTTATGTTCGAGGGAAAAGCTGCAATGGCGATTCCCGGACCGCGATTTAAAGTCAAAATGGAAATTTTGAACTCACCGTGTGTCTTCTTTTCTGTGACCTGATTTCAAACTTTTCCCACTAATTTAACATTTCAATTCTTGTTTTTTTCTTTTTTTTATTCTCGTAGTTTCCTGTTCGTTAAAAAAAAAAAAAAATAAAAAAAATACTCGCGACAATTTATCATTTAAAAAAAAATGCATTTCGACGATAAATGTTCGTTGATTGTTCGATAAAAGACGAGTAAAACGTGGAAGACGATGAAGACGAAGACGAAGACGAGACGAGACGAACCAATTGGTTCCGTGGAAATCAACTTTGGATTTTACTTTGGCCTTGCAGCCAAGCTGCGTCAAAGATTGAAAGAGAAATAGAAGGAAGGAAAGAAAGTATTGAAAAAAAAAAATCAAAATGAAGGATGAAAAAAAGAGGATTGATAAGACTCACCGGATGAGTTCGAAGATTTCTGGTTTTTCCATCTCCCTTTGCTTCATCCTTTCCTTCATTGCTGTGATTATGCTATTCGCTTTATCCTCTGCACCGTGCTTCGAACTCTTTTCCGCGGCTCCTGTAAAAATCAAAAGAAAAACATTCAGAAAAGATTCGCATTAGTTGCGAATTACTATTGTTAAAATTCTGAGCTTTGAACGAAAGGTGAATTTAAAATGACTTCATCCTTAATTCCTTCTTGCAAATGATCGTACTCTTTTGTTTAAATAATCGTTAAATCATCTCTTCTTTCTTTGCTTTTTTTTTTCTTATGGTGGAAATAGATGAACCATGATTATTGAATTATCTGAATTTGATGGGTTTAACTCTTGTGATATTTGTGATTAACCCTTTGAAAATGACAATTTTTTCAATTCGTTTAGGTAGCAGGATTTTTGCAAATATGTAGAATGTTTTACATGGTGCAATTACATGAACTTATATATAAATTTTGTCATTTTTTTTAAATTAAATTTGGCAAATAGAAATTAAGGAACCCTACCAAGTACCAATAGTTCATTCCCTTCAATTGGGGTTAACGAAATATAGCATAAACACCGACTGGCGCCTCTCACTCGCCACTCGTCCTACTGAGCGAAATATTGTCCACAAAGGATTAATTTTTCTTACGTTTACGTTAATTTTATTTAATAAACAAATAAGTGAAACATTTACAGTTACAATTTATTTTTTAGTAATCAGAGAAGTCTGAGATTTTGTTGACGATGAATCAAACAAAACTTTTTACTCGATAATATCAGAAACGTTTAGAAAAATCACGATTCGTAAGAAACTCGAAATGTCAATATAAAAATTATCTTTCTTATACTTTTATTTATAACAGTAATAATTATCTTTGCAAATTTCTAGTCTGTTGTAATATATTTTTTCTATCCACAAACCTTGTCAAAAGGACGCATCCGCAATCTCTTCTTAGACGCATTCGCGCACATTTTCCAAGCTAACGCTTTCACGTGAAACGTTCAAAACATTTTTCAAAAGCTTTAATTTTCCGGTGCTAGCTCGTTGAAAAACGTTTGTTGCTTTGCTAAGGTGCTTTTCGAATTGCGAAGAAATGTTCTTTTCTTTTTGTTTGTTTGTTTTTTTTTTTATTTTTTTCTTTGATAAAAGTATTGACAACGTTTGCATGACGGAAATTATTCGTATCGATCGTTAATGAAACGTTTAACGTGTGATTGATCAGGAATTGAACAGAAACAAAAACAGAAAAAAAAAAAACAAGGAAAAGAATTGCATTTTTTGAGGAAAATTTTGAAAATCGGTTTACATAAAATTAGAAAATAAAATAACAATCGATCGAGATTGATATTAGAAATTATGCTACTAATTATGTTATATATATATATATATATATATATATAATATTGTATTTATAATATTATATTTCTAATATTAAATTTTGTAATTAACCTATATATATGTATGAAATAAACTTACTTTGCAAGCAGTCAGCATTAAGCAAATCCTTGCACTTTTCGTGACACTTAACGCCGCATTCCATGCATCTAACACCCTGACGCGCAATACCCCAAAGAAGACCCTCGCATTCGTAACAGTAAGTAGGTGAGGTTGCAGTCCAGGTGACGAAATTGTGAGGCGTCGTAGACGAGATTGGGTAGATCATAGCTTGCAGCGTTTTCTTGTAGACGTGCATCTTCTGCGGGGTTTCAGCATGGTCGTATCGTCGTTAAAGGGTGCTTTTCTCCAAGTTAATGAGATAGTAGATACCGTAGTATATATAGGAGATAAAGTATAGGAAATTTTCAATGATATAGGACAATAGGAATGTAGGAAATGTTGGAAGATATTATTTCAAATCGGATTTTCAAATTGGATGCATTCGACCAGTCACTCGGATGCACTTGGAAACACTTGAACCCTTCCTTCATTCAATAAAGATCTCTTTCATTTATTTATTTATTTATTGTATTGCAAATGTGTCTTTCATCGACAGAAAAAAAGAAACGGAGTAAGAGTGGGGAGATGGAAGTGAGAGAGGATGGGAAAAGGATGCAGGTGAAAAGGAATAAAATGTGTTTTCCAATCACTCGATGCAACGAACTGTTTTTATGCATTAACTTTTAAAGTAATTTTAAGTTTTACAGTAAAAGATTTTTTTTCGTTATTATTTTTCTGGTTAATTTGAGAATCTTTGAGAATTAAACGATGAGTTCAAGAGTGTCCTTCTTAACATTCGTACACTATCGTATTTTGCGATTCGTCAAAAAAGCGAGGGTCGTTTATTCGTTCGGTTCGACAATTCTCTCTAAATAATTTTTAATTGAAAAAATAAAATAATTTCTTTTTATGAACGAAACCTGAACTTCGCTTATTCTCGAATCGTTCTCACGAATTTATTTCTGTGTGTTTTTTTTTTTTTTATCTGTTTGTTTTTTTTTCTTTTATGCACAAAATCAATTTCCTAATTGTCCATGCAGGATCGGTACACCTCGATCTTGCACACATCCACGCTTACGATCTACTCTCGCGTTCTATTGTATCGATGTGCACGCAAATCCACTAAACAAAATTCAGCTTCTCGAATCGTGCCTGCGATTCCTAAAGTTTTGTTTTCTGTTTTTTTTTTTTTTTT